TAGCTCAGGACTATCTCCTGACACATACAATGCCCCTGAAAATACTCACTCATCCCCCAGTATTCCCAAAGCACCAAAGAAACCAGAAACAAAGGCCCGCTCAAACACTTCTGAATGGCTAAATGAGTGAGTGAATGACTCCTTGGCAAGCTGCCAAGTGTGTGACCATGAACAAAACATTTAAATCCTCTGGACTCTAATTTCCTAATCCAGAAAAATGAGGGGGCTGAATTGCTCCAGCTCTAAGTGTCTACAGCCTTTTCTAAACCAGAGCAATATTTTACGATCTTTACTCATTGCTCAGCCTTCTCTCAACTAGTTATTTCAAGAATCTCACTTCAACAAAGCATCATTTTCCCTAAATCATATGCATGCCCTTCACAACAGCAACAGCACAGTAAATGCCAGAGGCTCTGGATGGACATAGTAAAGAACTGCCTGGACAATGTGAGGGACAGGAAAGGGCGGATCTCCATATTTTTCCCATTTGCCTGTTTCTTATTTTTGAAAGCACTCACCTCTGCAGAGTACCTTTTAACACTGCAGTAGCGAACGCACCTGATTTTCATTGCTAACAGGTATTGTTTAATTAGTTTATGTAGGTCTTTCCCATAAATCAACTGCAAGTTCCTGAAGCTCACAAAGGTGTGCCGAGCCAGTGGATGAGTGGTTTTCAACTTCAGCTGCACACAAGATCCCAAGAGGAGCTTTTACAAATCCCGGGAGCCAGGTCATGCTTGAGTCTAATAACTCAGTCTCTAGTCCTGATCCCAGACATGGGTGTTTGTGAAGAACCTCAGGTTATTCCAGTGGGCACCCATGCTGCAATGCTAGCCCTAAGGAAACTTGGAATATGCAAGCACCCAGGTGCTCTCAGAGGAAGCAGGACAACCAGTCCTCATTCTGGGACTATTAGCATTGTCAGTTTTAGTCCTCATCCCAGTGTTGTTAACACTGTCAGTCTGGACAAGACCTGAGTTCTCATCTATCAAAAGAGAGACTGCAGACAGTAAGGAGTAGCTGGACTAACAGTAGAGCACAGGGGCCATTCTCTGCCCTCAAGGAACTCATATTTACTTAGCCACACAAGGCCATTCTGTGCCATCAAGGAACTCGTGTTTACTAGCCACACAGATGCCAGCAGTAATGGTCCAGACACATGTGGTAAATGCAGAATCCGGGGAATGAACCCAATGTTTAGAAAACACAATGGACAGCCAAATATCCCAGAGAGCCATGGCTCCCCAGAAGGGTACAGCTTTGCTGAGCTGAGCTAAACTGATGATAAAGCAATCCCAGGGTGAGCAGGGTGGGAAGATGGCCAGGATACTCAGAGGCAGACAGCAGAAAGGAATAATAAAATTGCAGAGGCAAGTTGAAAAAGCATAATCCAGTCATTGTTGCCCCTACCACAGGCCACAGCAATCTGCAGGGTATTCATGGCGATTTGCTTACCTCACCCCCACCCCTAAATATTGGCATGACCCTGAATCAGACTCGAAAGAGTCATTTCCCTTTCTCGGGCACATGTACACTCAAGCTTTCACCTCCTTCTACCTACCACCACACCTGTCGCTGCCACTGGTGCTCCAACTTGGGTTCAAGCAAACATCAGTCAGTAGTCAGAAGAGGTTGGGTCTCTGCCAGGCAAAGGGTAGGGGTTTCTATTCTCTTGGAATTTTAAAGAAATCCCCACAACTTTTGGTATAATACCGATTTGAGTTTGAATGGAAACTGCACAACTTATTACACATGTGAGCCTGGACAGGCAATTTGGACCCTGTAAACCTCAGGATCTTCATCTGGAAAACAAGGATAGCGCAGATGGGACTTCAGAGTTATCACAAGAGCTACAGAGAACAGGTCAGGCTCTGGCTTCAGTCTTGGTAACTACAAGCTCATGCTGTCAGTAAATGCTACAGAAAGAGAAGAAAAACACTCCAATTTTGCCATCCTTTTGGCACTGTCTACCTGGAGATGAGCCCCTACCCCAACCCCAGGTACAAGGCAGCATGAAGTCTGCTAGGGGCTTCTAAAAAGCCTTCACTTCAGCTATCTGGGGGATGGGAGAAATGCAAAGGGACCCCACCCATTAATGCTGAAAGACTTCACAACAGAGGCTGGTTTGAAAGCACTGTTTTGGAACCTAGAGGTCAGCAGGCTTCCTGAATTTGCAGACTCCATTTCTGAGGAGCTCCCACAGTTACATTCTTGCCTGGTTACATTTTCTGGTTGCCAGCTACATGGCAGATGCCTTGGGGTTAGAGCGAAGCAGTGATGCCTTCCCTCAAATGGCCACTGGGTGGGTTTAATAAGACATAGAGAAGCAGACTAGGACACATGCTTTTCTCTTTCTGCCAAATACCCAAAAGTGAATTCAGACCAAAGCACCACCCTAAAGTCATGTATGTATGCATGTGTGTGTGTGCATGCGTGCCAAAGGTTAACACTAATGCTATCCCTCAGTTATTTGTCCACTTTCCATCTTACTTTTTGAGAGATTCTTCTCCTGATGCTGGAACTCACCAATTTGGACAGACTGACTGGCCAGCAAACCCTAGGGATTACAGGCGTGCACCATTCAACCCAGCTTGTTTACATGGGTGCTGGGGACCTGAACTAGGGTCCTCACACTTATGCTGTGAGTGCCTTACTAACTGAATGACCTCCCCAGACCTACAGTGAATCTTGAGGATGATGATACTCTTCCAAAGTTAAGCACTGGTAATTCTTTAACATTCACAGAAAGCTTCAAATTCTGCAAAGGTTCACAGCCTCAGAGGACGCCAAAGGCAGTCTCGACTTAAACCTGGGTCTTCTAACAGCAAATTCCTTGCTCTCTCGAGGTACATAGACTGTCTGGGACCAGGAGAAGCCGAGGATACTCACCATGCGACTCCGCTCATCTTCAAGATTCCTGAGAACAGTGGCAAATTCTTGCAAAGATCTCGCTGGAAGAAAGAAAGAAGCCATGAACTGAAAGCATTATGACAGGTATGCAAAAGCAACTTACAGATTTAAATTCCTTATGCACACAGATGCCCAAAGTCAACTGCTGTCTGCAGATTCCCTCGTCTTTTAATCATTAACCACTGAAGACAGGATGACCCAGAAAGGCAGGTTAATTGCTCCTGGAAGACCAGCTAGAGGATTTCTCCAAGAAAAAGACCCGCCTATTCCTGAGCATTCCCAGGACTGCTGAGGGCTGGCAGGCTCCCAGCCCTGGGACTGAAAGGGGCAGAGTTCCACTAAGGAGCCGAAGGATTTCCTGTCCAGGATTCAACCTCTTCAATCTTTGTTGCTGAGCTGCATCAGAATCCAACCTTTTCTTTGGCATGACAACTATACAAACAGTTCTGCGGGCAACAGAAGCCACATCTCTGGCATCTCCTTAGGCTCCTTCTCCCGGAGTTCTGAAGCCACTCATTAGTAGAATGCAGCCTGAAGCACAGCCATCAAACACAGATGGTCTCTGCTGGAATCTTTCATGAAGGCACCAGACACTTGGTGAAGTAGCCCCAGGACTTTAGGATACTTGGGCAATGCTGGAAAAGCATCATGGCTTACAACAAGGACACATTTTCATTGTTCTCACCTACATCCCAGATGTCTTTGCTCATACCCAAATCCTGGTGTTCTGTTTGGCAACAGACTCAAAAATCATCCCAACAACTTTAACTTTCTCGATTCTTTATTTCTTTGGTATTGGGAATTGAACCCAGATACTCACATACACCAAGTATGTGTTCTACCATCAGGCTAGAATCCTAGTCCCAACTCTTCTTAGTTCTCCCTCCCTTTAGAGCATCAACCAAGATGCCCAATATAAGAAAAAAGAAAAGAATATGAGACCCTAGCAAAGTGATGAGTCTTGGCTGCACCATTGCTCTGTGCTCAGAGCAGCCTATGGAAGAGAGCAGTAAAGAGGGAAGCAGTTCAGCATGGTAATATTCAGGAGCTCACCTCCACCTCTCAGTAAGGAAACTACAGAAGAAAGAGGTGGGGACACAGGGAGATAGCCACTGAGCTCTGCTCCCACACAGCAGGGAGTGACAGTTACATGGCTCCAGCCAGCTGTTACCAGGCCAAAATGGAAGGCTGCTAGATCAAACTTGTAAAATTTTAAAAGAAAAAGAAAAACAAGTTGAGATAAATTCAACTTACATGGTAATTCAGTTTAAAATAAAAAATCAACTAAAACATTATGCTTTCTCATCTCAGTCCATTAGCTAACACTGCAACCTTGATCCAACTCTCTTTATCATCTGCATTCATTCTTGTCTTAGGTTCTTAGTACTGTGGTTGGGTAAGGGGAAAAAAGGAATGGATAAGAGCACCATCACAGAACTCCCAGCTTCCTCCTGCATCCTCCAGTTTCCTGGACAGAGAGTGAGGTCAAGGCAAGGGGAGGCCCCATCCTGGCCTTCCTATCTGTGCCTTCCAGTACCCACTGGATTTCTACCTTTACTATTAGGCCTCCTTGCCCAGGAGAAGGCTTTCTGGGATGAACAGCAAATGTTCCCATCTCCCATGAGGTTATGACTCACCTATACACATCTCATCATCTGTTTCTGCATCTCCTATACACTGAAATTTAAATTCATTTAAGGAATCTGCAAACTTCCGCTTTGCTGAAGACAAATCTAACAAGAAAAAGAGAAAAAGACAAATTATTGAAATTAAATTGGCCTTCATAGTTGCTGCCCTTTTTAAGTCCTTCTGTGTATACTTAGCAAGGTTTGTTGCTGAGATCATTTCACGGAAGAGAAGTTAACTCAAAATGGTAAATACCTTTTTATGTAACAACACATTATATAAAGTATTGACTTGCTCTAGTTAACATTTTTATTGTAACTGCTTTAACAATTCGAATCCTATGGGATAAAGATATAATCCAGTGGTAAAGTGCTAGCCTGGCACTCCAAGGCCCTGGGTTTGATTCCCAGCACCACAATGGAGGTGTGTATATATACATACAAACAATATTTTTAATCATATGTTTGCTTCCTCAAAACACATTGAGACCTATCATCGCCATTTGACACATGGGAATCTCGCCACTTAAGGAGAACAAGGAGGAAGCCTGGATCAGAAACAACATCAGTCCCCGGAGCCTACAGGTACATGCTATGCTGCCACCTTCCATGTGGTCAGTACAGCTTCCCCCATGTGTGGCTCTAACACATTTTGTAGCTCAAAAGGAAAAGCAGGAAGAGCCTGTGTTGCTGCCTCCAGGTATAAGCACACCTAGCTTCCTCTTCCAACTAAAGACAGACAAGGGCCAAGTTCTCAGACCCTCTCTGACCCATTCTCATTAGTCAACAGCTTGACAAATTTCCATTAGAGGCATTTTCCACAGTCACCAGAGGAATGAAGCCCTGGCAATGTTTTGTATTGGGATTTCCTTAAGAAGCCAACCCCACACATGGTATCTATCATGAAAACTCTCTGGGGCCCTTGTCAAATTTAAAATCTAAACTTTCTTTTAAGACAGTAATAAAAGCCAATGATCCTTCCTGAGCCCTCAGCTTCTGTTCAGGGCATAAAATCACCAAGGTACTGTTAAGTGGCCTGACAGACAAGGCTGCTCAGTACGACTTGCTTAACTTAATTCCACATGCAGCCTTCCTGCAGATTAGGCTAATCATTCAAATTACCATCTATCCAGGCTTCCCTCATTGAAGAGGAAATGGCATTAAGTTTAAACTCCCAGTGGAGGGTAATAGGAGGCATAACTGGTAACAAGGCCTGGATTTAATAAGATGGGAAGTTCTGGCTTCCAGGATCAATGTGACCCCTAAATAGAAGCATCCCTTCCATCAGCTGAAGGTCATTTAGGTTGTTTCCATTCCCTAGCTATTGTGAATAATATTGAGTTCTTCCATATATGTCCAAGGAGTATTATAGTTGGGTCATATGGCAGACTTATTTTTTAGATTTTTTGAGCTTGGGGTGTTTGTGTGTGTGTGTGAGAGTGTGTGTGTGTGTGTGTGTGTGTGTG